ACATACATATCTAAAATCGTCTTAAAAGTTTCGGATATACTATTTGGGTTGAGATGCTCCAATATTTTTGGTAAATTTGAGGAAACAGTTGCTTTTTTGGCCTACTTCTTGTCCTCTGAAATTCATAGTAAACATGAGGGAATAGTTGCTTACCACACTGCTGCTTCTTTATTTATGCTTATTATTGAAGTTTGCTGGATTTTGCCAGCAGATACGGTGTATAGAATCAGGGATTGACATGTGGTAGCTGTTAGGTGGCACATTTGTGTCCTCAGCCACAGAATGGACTGAGTTGAGAGGATAAGAACTTTGAGGAAATTTTTTGAGTTTTATTTTTGTGTTTTTTAATAGAAAATGTGATAAAAATAGCTGGAGTGAACTCAGTTGGCAACCATCCTTTTATTTGTATTTGATATAAGACAGCGTCTGTTCCCTTTCCAGGTTTGCATTAGCAGATATGGTTTCCAATCTAGTGCTTCAAATTTGAGACATATGTTTTAGCTATGGAATAATAAAAATTTATCTTAGATTCTATCCAAATTATACATATGATTATCTATAGTGATGGGGGTTCTTTTGTATTTACCTGCTAATCTTAGGTCTCTAAAACTGAAATATCGCTATAATCTAGTAATTTTACCTTCTTATTGGTTGTATTTCCAATCTGCATTTGTTCATAAACCTTCTAGTTAAGACTGAATGCCAAATGCCTGTGTGCTTCAGGTTACTTCCCTGAGCATCTTATGCTTGCTTTGCTGTTTATTACTTTTTAATTTATTGGCCACTTGAGCCGCTTTTTCTTATGGTTTGTTACTTGTCTTGATTTTTATCATTATTTTTAGGATATCAAGAAACAGAACTGTCTAGATGAAGTTTGCTTTTTTTTGGAGCCCTAGACAAGCTTCTCTGACAATTGCCTCTTCATTAAGATGTTTGGTCTCAGTTTCTGGGATGTTAAGCTACTTTCATTACATGTTTTCTATAAGTAAGATGATTTTAGCATTCATTAATAAAATGGTATTGACAGTTCCAATTTGACACATTTAGTAAAAGTGAGAAGCAGTGGTGATCTTGCATGCTGTGGATGGCTTCTTTATCTTTTATATATTCTCCAACGAGAGAGGATTTTTTTAATTGAAAATTTTCTTTTTCCCTTCTAAGAATAACTACATGTCACAGGATTGGGTCAGAAGCAGATGGCAGGGAGGCCTGTAACATTCTTCATGCTGCTGGACCTTCTAAGGTACTTTCATATCTATGTATTTATGTATGACAATTTAAATCTTGATGTGTTAAAACCCTGAGATTCTGACATTTTAACTTATCTCAGTTTTTGTTTCTTTTGCCTCTGCAATAAATATATGCATGTGTCTGCATATATATTTTTGTTTGCTGAGTTATATAGAGGCTTAATTGACACACTCATTGTGTCAAAAGTGTGCACCATGTGACATAAAATTTTCCCTTGTAAAAACATAATCCTCCTACAAGTTTGCAGAATAGAATAATTTGTTGCATATTTACGTGAATAGGAAAACTGATGGTGCAACCAAACCTACATGAACAAATATGATGTCTGCATCATAAATTATGGCTAGTGATATTCTCCTGTACTAGAATAGTTTTGGATGCAGCAATTTCCAGCTTGAAGATGATGGCCATGATGGTGTTTCTAGATAACTAGACGTGATATTTCATATTCACTCAGTTAGTTAGGTAAGTTTCATA